ATTGCTATGCCTCCCTTCCTCCCTCCCTCCCTCCCTCCCTCCCTCCCTCCCTCCCTTCCTTCCTCCCTTCCTTCCTTCCCTTTCTCATTCTTCTTCCTGGTGGCACAGTGGTTAGAATGCAATATTGCAGGCTGATTGTGCCCAGTGCCAGAAGTTCGATCCTGACCAGCTCAAGGTTGACTTGGCCTTCCATCCTTCTGAGGTCATTAAAATGAGGACCCGGATTGTTGGGGGCAAATAGGCTGACTCTGTAAACCGCTTAGAGAGGGCTGTCAAGCATTGTGAAGCGGTAGATAAGTCTAAGGGCTATTGGTACAGACAGTCCTCGACTTAACAAACAGTTCATTTAGCGACCTTCGAAGTTACAACGGCACCGATCGTTTTTCAAACTTCCAATCCCTGCAGCATCTCCTTGGCCACGCGATCAAAATTCAGATGCTTGGCCACTGGTTCATATTTATGACCGTTGCTGTGTCCCAAGGTCACGTGTGATCCCTCTTTTGCGACCTTGTAACAAGCAAAATCAATGGGAGGAAAGCCAGATTCACTTAACAACCGGGTTGCTGACTTACCAACTGCAGCGATTCACATGAATCAAGAAAGGTTGTAAAACGGGATAAAGCTCACTTATCGAGAGAAATTGGGAGCTCCGTGGTCGTAAGTCGAGGACTACCTGTTTAAGCGCTATTGGTATTGCCATTGGGCAGAATCCCACCCTACAGCTCTCCAGGGTGATGCAACGGGGGGCTGCTTTCTTTCCTTTTCCAGCATTGACCCATTCCCCCCCCCCCCCAAAAAAAGCAGCTTCTCGCTGCCTTAGTGCCAACCAGCCAGCCTGTTGGATTGATGCCCTGCATGAGTCAGGCTGCCTGTGGGGTGTGGACTTTCCCTGCTGCCACCCGCTTCTCTGAGGCCTCTTTGTAGGTAACAGAGGCGGCATTCATGCCACACTCACCTCCACCTAAGGCAGGAATTTCTGAGTAATGGGACTGGGGGTAGCTTGAATACTTTCCTGTGTATGAAATCTCCCCCACCATTCTATACCTCCCCCCCTCTCTCTCTTTTTGCATATATCCCTGGAGAGGGGTTGGAGACATTTGTCTTCTTCCCACACCCACCCCAAGCAAAACCAAATTGGATCTATTCAATCAATCCGAAGTAGAGCTGGAAGGGACCTTGGAGGTCTTCTAGTCCAACCCCCTGCTCAAGCAGGAGACCCGCCTATACGATTTGAGACAAATGGAGCAGTGTACAGGAAGTCCACAAGTCTTAAAAGTTGCCAGGTTTGGCACTCCTGGAGTTACAGCTCTGGGATAACAACAACAACAACAACAACAACAACAACAACAACAACAACAATAATAATAAAGTTGGAAGGGACCTTGGAGGTCATCAAGTCCAACCCCCTGTTCAGGCAGGAAACCCTATACCATTTCAGACAAATGGCTGTCCAGTCTCTTCTTAAAAACTTCCAGTGTTGGAGCATTCACCGCTTCTGGAGGCAGGTTGTTCCACTGGTTAATTGTTCTCACTGCCAGGGAATTTGTCCTAAGTTGCTTCTCTCCTTGATTAGTTTCCATCCGTTGCTTCTTGTTTTGCCTTCAGGCGCTTTGGAGAATAGCTTGTGCACTGGTGATAGCGGTTGTCCACCTCTGCCTGTCACAAGTCCTTGGGAAGGATTCAACACAAATGCCAGATCCAATCTAAACATCTGGCTGACTGCAACAAGCCATAATAACAATAATAATACATCAAAACATTATGACATCTTAAGTTCTTGGGAAGAACTGGTTGCAAATGAAGGTGAATACTAGCTAAAGAACAGGCACTAGCTATGTCACATTGTTATGTGTATTATAATTATAATACTATTTTTGTGGCACTAGGTGTATGCTGATCCAGGCTATTTGGACACCCTGACTCAGCTGCTGGGACCCTCCCTCCCCCCCAAGGGGGCAGAATGGAGTTAGAGGAGGGTTACAATGGAGTAAGTAATTGGCTGGGGTGTGCTTGCAAATAGGAGGGAGGGGTGTGGATGGATGGATGGATAGATAGATAGATGGATGGATGGAGAGATAGTTAACAGACAGGCAGACAGACAGATTGACACAGATAGATGGATGACAGGGAGGGAGGGAGAGCGAGATAGATAGATAGATAGATAGATAGATAGATAGATAGATAGATAGATAGATTAGATAGGTAGATAGATTGAGTAGGTAGGCAGGCAGGCAGACACAGACAGACACAGACAGACAGACATGACAGGAAGGTGGATAGGCAGACACAGATGACAGGCAGACAGACAGATTGCAGACAGGTAGATAGACAGACAGACAGAATGTGAGAGAGGGAAGAGAGAAGACCAGTGCACTTGCATATAGGAGCTTTTTGATGCAGATATAGACATATTGTGTGTTTGTGCGTGCTCTTTTAAGTCACTCTTGACTCTTGGCAGCTATGTGGACAAGTCCCTGCTTTTTTCACGGCAACATATTTTGGAAGGGACTTGCTATTGTCTTCTTTCTAAGTTGAGAGAGACAAGTGGCCTTACCACTGGCTTTGTGCTTAAGCAGAACCGGAAGCCACACGCTCTGAGCTTCTAGTCCAGTGGCTTTTAGCTGGTTCCTATTCTGTATTTTATTGATACTGAGTTTTCTGGGCTTGCCATCTTAACCTATCTGAAGGGTGCTGTGGGAAATTGGCTTTTAAGGTGTTTGTAAATTAGGTATATTAATTAATGATGGGGACAGGAAATAGGATTCCCTCCCAGAGCTTTTAATCGAACAATAGAGGGGATGGGAAAAGAGGGAGTAATGTGAATTTCTTCCGACAAATGGAATGTTTAGACCCCTTTTCCGGGATAAAGACCCACTGGTTGAGGTGAGCTTGGGTAAATAAGAAGATCTTCCTAGATATTGTTGCCCAACTTCAGCAACTTTAAGGTGTGTGCGTGTTTATTGGGGAATTCTGGGAACTGAAGTGACTGGATTTGAGAGAACCGTGGCCTAAATCAGGGGTCTCCAACTTTTTGGGTTCTGTGGACCACTGGCGGTGGCACCAGTGGCTTCACCGGTTTGGGCATTGGGGGGAGGGGGTGGTTTCATGCATGCAACCGAAATCCCACACGTGTGCAAAGGAAGCGTCACACCCTTGCCTGCTGCTTTGGTGGCCTGGTTCTCAACGGGCCGTGGCTCGGTAATAGGGCTGTGGCCTGGGGGTTGGGGATCCCTGGCTTAAATGATCCCGGGAATTTCTGATGTTTGTCTGTTTTTTTCCCCAGAGCTCAGCACTGGGAGCTCAAGGAGGCGTGGCTATGTCCATCATTGGCGCAGAAGATGAGGACTTTGAAAATGACATTGAACCTGTAAGTGGGGGAATTAGCAGAACAAATGCAAGAGGGAACATAAGATGGTTAAGGGGATAAAATGAATCCCCTACAACAACGGCCCCCAAACTTTTGGGTACCAGGCTTTTCCGTGGACCGGAGGGGGTGGGGTTTTGCATGCTGCCTGCATCCTGCAGAGGGGTCTTTGCTTGCTTGCACGGCCCATTTTTTGGCAGACTGGTACTAGTCCATGGCCTGGGGGTTGGGGACCCCTGCCCTACCAGGAAAGATGGAGGGATTAAGTTGGGAAAAAGCATGGAAGAAGTAACATTATAACGCATACAGGTAGTCCCTCAACTTATGACAGGCGCTTAACAACTATTCAAAGTTACCACAGACCCCGAAAAATGGATAATAATAATAATAATAATAATAATAATAATAATTATTATTATTATTATTATTATTATTATTATTATTATTCAATTGCAAAAGGCGGCCTTACTAGGAACTGCTTCCATCCTGCGACGATATCTGTAGCACCATCAAACATCCACATCTGCCTATCCCAGGTCCTTGGTAAGGACTCGATAGGTAGACAAAAATGCCAAATCCAGTCTGAACATCTGGCTGTGCAATAATAATAATAATATAATAATAATAATAATAATAATAATAATAATAATAATAATAATAATAATAATAATAATAAAAGTTGGAAGGGACCTTGGAGGTCATCTAGTCCAACCCCCTGCTCAGGCAGGAAACCCTATACCATTTCGGACAAATGGCTGTCCAATCTCTTCTTAAAAACTTCCAGTGTTGGAGCATTCACCGCTTCTGGAGGCAGGTTGTTCCACTGGTTAATTGTTCTGTCAGGAAGTTTCTCCTTAGTTCTAAGTTGCTTCTCTCCTTGATTAGTTTCCATCCGTTGCTTCTTGTCCTGCCTTCAGGGGCTTTGGAGAATAGCTTGACTTCCTCTTCTTTGGGGCAGCCCCTGAGATACTGGAAGACTGCTATCATGTCCCCCCTCTTCCTTCTCTTCATTAAACTAGACATTCCCAATTCCAGCAACCATTCTTTATACATTTTAGCCTCCAGTCCCCTGATCATCTTTGTTGCTCTTCTCTGCACTCTTTCTAGAGTCTCAACATTAACAACCCGGTTTCTAAGTTACAACATCTGGTCCCTTATGCAGCCACATGATCCTGTTGGGGTGTTTGGCAATCACATTTACAGCCATCTGCAGTGCCCCGCAGTCATCTGACCATGATTTGTGATGTTTTTGCTCAGAGCTCAAGAGAGCACTAAGGATCCCATCACTATTTCTGATTTTCCTATGTTGGGTTCTCTCCACAGTTCCAGCACCCGGATGCTCAAACCGGCTTGTTCCAAAACCTGGAGATCCTGATGAAGCACCCTGCGTACTTGATGGTCTTCATACAACATGTGGTGTTGCAGTTTGATTCAAGCCCTGTGGTGAGCTGACGCATCCGCCCTTGCGTTTTTTTTTTTGGTGCAGCTGCTCACTTCTCTTCCTCTTCCTCTTCCTCCCCCCCTGAACCAAGAACCTAACCACCATGAAGCACACACCCTCTCCGCTGAAGAGGGTGAACCACTGAACTTTGGGGCCCCACAGGCACAGAATACACACATGTTTGTGCTGGTACTGTTCGCGTAGATGTGTTGGGCTGTGCAGTGGATTGAGTTCCAAGGCAAAAAAGTGCTGGGCTGTGGAATGCTGGGAATTGAAGGTCCACCCATTTTAAAGTTTACTAAGGTTGAGAAACACTGCAATAGAAGACTCACTGATGCATTTCTTGCTGGACTGGATGAGTCTAGTATGACAGGAAGGGAAATTGCATGATTCTTGCCACCTTCTTTAAGTAACATTAAAGTGTGACATAGTATAGTGCTAGTAAAATTGGCAATGGACAACAACATTGTCATACAGCATCACGGTCTGGTTTGGAGGAATCACTGCTTCAGACAGGAAGGCGGTGCAGAGAGTGGTGAGAATGGCCAAAAAGATCATGGGCAGTTCCCTCCCTCCCATCCAGGACATAGCACAGAAGCGTTGTTTGAGCAGGGTCCGCAAGATTATCTGGGACCCTACACATCCTCTTCACAACCTGTTTTCCTTGTTACCTTCTGGGAGGAGGGGGCTTCGTGGTATCCGCAGCAGAACATCCAGATTCAGCCATAGTTTCATCCCATACAGCATTAATCTTGTGAACTCTCAAGCTTCCTCCTTCCGTTATATATTCAAGACGGACAGTATCTAATATTTATTTGCTACGTATATATAGGAATGTGGGTCTGTACATATGTTCATAGTATGTTTAGGTGTGTGTCATGTATGTGTTTCACTTTTGAGAGCAGGCAACTAAATTTCATTTTTGATGTGTGCCGTTGTGCCCACAGTAAA